TAAAGGTTTGGTTCTCATACTGGGAATTTAACATGAGAGAAGCCAGTTTAAGGGCCTCATCACAGTGATTTATGTCGCAAAATCCACAGGACTACGTGTCGTGTAGACACGGGAAGGATGTCATAAAATTCTGTTGAAAACAGCTCAAGATTCTGCCAGTTACGAAACGATCATGGAAATATCACTTTTCAGCATACACAGAGTGATAAAGTTTAGACTGTTTTTACTCACACTTTTTTCACCATAGGTGGTACCAAGACCGCACAAAATTCCAGATATCCGCTACAAGCAGTGAACACGTTCGGCTAGTCTTCACAATGCCGCGTCACGCCAAATAAGGATCTATTTTATCACAGATTCTTATGCCTATAGCTTCAGGGACCAAGACAGGCGACATTGACGATTTCGAGAATCACTTAGTTTCCACATAATCACGCAATTCAGGTGAATATCTATGTTCAAGCATTTCTTCCTCTTCAAGCGGTACCATTTACAGCAATATAGAGTTGCGCCATTGTAATTGGATACTACGGCGCAAAAGAATAAACATTTGAAGAACTAAGGACCAGTCGCGATGGGTTTTACACACTGTTCACATTAAGGTATGTTGGATTATGAAGGAGGTATATTCACTGTAAGATAAAGTACTAACGAAGCCTGTCGCATAGAATTGCTGTGAACATGTTCACTTTAGCGTCAGTAGGCGAGTTGATCTCTTAGATTTAATTCTGTCCTGGTTTTCGTTGCCATTGTGGCCGTCCAGAAATTTGAGCATTTCGAGGATAGATAAATGTTAGTGCGATGAAAAAGACAAATGAGCGAATAGGACCGGCAACTGCAACTTATCAAACGATAAATCTCGTAGCAGTAGTTTCATTTTTCCAGAAACAATGGAACTTTGAGAATTAGTAACATATATTCCTCACTCGACTCCTTTTTGTCGTCATTGAAGACTGGCATGATGATGTGGGTCTTCGAAGCTTTTAATCAAATCTGTAGTTCAGTTTTCGGATTTCCGGACAATTCAGTGTAATTTCATCATGGTTAGTTATACAGCCATCACGCACGGATGTAGGGAGACTTTGTCCATCCATAGTATGACATCATTGGCCAACACCTGGCAGGAGAGACAGTATGCGAACTTTCTAGATTTCATTCCCCATCCAGGTTTTGCCCTTATATGCACAATAAGCAGCTGCATTTGTTCAGTCGATATAACCTCGCTTCCCGGTTTACCCAGCCTCAGTGTGTGACACCCGCTTTCCGCTGTTGTTCATCGGACGGATATCTGTGTTTTAATAGACTACTCCTACATGAAGGAGCGTCGAATGGGATATTAGAACTCTGTTGACAGCCTACTACCAAGTTTTCATGCGATGTGGTAAAATTATCTATGGGTATTACCTCCTTCCTTTTGACTGAAGTGATTGGCGATGGAGGAAGAGGTCTTTTCAAGCTCCGGGCTGTCTACTACCCCAGCCATGTGTATGAAGTCACTGCGATTAGCACTGGATAGCTAACTCACTTTCAGGAGGGATACGACCAGTAAGCGCCAACTGTTGCTTGAGACATACGGACTAGGAGCGAGGTACAGTAAAGCCGAAAAATTGGTGTCCCTCGATGCGATTTTCCCTAGTCATGGGACATTTTTCATCTTAGTTGCTGTTCTGATCTTCAGTGAGTACTGTTTAGTCAATGGTCATATTATGGCTAAACTCACACATTTTATGAAAAATCTTCCTTGGAAGCAATGCTTTACCACCATGTTTATGTTTGGGAGTGAACGGAAGAGTAAAAATGCAGGCGAAATGGGCAGTGTGAACCTAGGCTCTAAGCAGACAGTTTTACTTTTAAACGTTCACTCATGTGACCATCGAATTTCAGAAGTTTCTTACTATTTTTAGTTGTACATATAGTGAAGTGTGGAGTGTCATTGGTGATAACCTGAGTCGAGGCAGTTTAATGAGACATTTTCACTATACAACGCTGTACAATTAGAAGATAGTAGCGATAACTCAGTGGAATCCACACTTCCGTCAACTTGATATGGTGAAATCAGTGTGTTAGAAAATGAGAGGCATGGAAAACAACTGCCGTAAGCCCGCGTTTCCTCCTTACAAAGATGAGGGCGAATCATATGTCATTGTTTGGTAGGAATGTCACCACTCCATTTGAAATGGTTGTCGCCAAACTCATGAACACAGTTGTTCAGAAATAGATTTACCCACCAAAACGCTGTCACACGCGATATGAACGGAGGCAGAGATCAACCATTAATTCGCTTTATTCAACGGACTGTTAAGAGTGCGAAACCGAGGAATAACACTATTTCGTGCCAAGGTACAGTTCGTGCACCCGTCATATTCTGCCACCATACCAAGAATAATATGCCCACTGGCTAGGGTTTCACGGAAGAGTGACACGAAATAGCACGACGGCGTCTAGAATACAGTAGGTGTTTGAACATGTACTTTTCGCCAAATAGGTCAGCCAAAGCTGTGGACCGTGGTATCCTCATCGGGTTCTCTTAAATTCTAACATCTAACATCAGTGGTGTCAGCGCGGGAAACTGGCGGCGTTCGGCCCCTCGTTTCTAGTTCTTAGAGGTTGGTTCTTGTTGCTTGGTTCGCATTTGTTGAGGTTTTGAAATCTCTTTTGCTTTACCACTTCCAGCTCTTCTAAGATGAAGGTTGGGCTTTGTAACTAGTAGACTGAATTGGCAAGGAAGCTGCAGAATGCTGAGAATATTAGAGATCTTCCATAACTCCTAACCATATAGGTCCCTGAAAGGGAATAGCAGGATGGTGAGGAAAATGTGTATAGGGGGTTTTGGGGGGGGGGTAAAGGGGGATAGCAGGAATCTAGTTTCCGGGGGCTTATTAGAATGTGGTGCCGGTGTACCAAAAGGAGAAAGACAGTGAATGGTTAATCAGGAAATAGTAGTGGACCACTTGGATAATTTGCGTTTCGAGTACTTTGCTGGAAAACCACATGAATTAATGCAACTGTCTAGTACTATATCGGATGATTCTACTGTGGGGGAAGTTCCATAAAGTACGTACCCTTGCGGTGAAAATGTACAACCTTAGCCTGGTATTGCATCTGACATTCGCTCTTGAGATACTGCCCTGTTGGGGGCAAAATTAGCTCGTTGACGTGGTTGGTCTGGCTGGTTATCTTATGAGCCATAGCAAATTCACTCCCCTTTCTGAGGTCGCCTAAGGTGAATACATTTAAGTTCCACAGACTACCTCAGTATGTCTTCCTCCCTAGTGAAACAACATATATGAATCATCCATGTGTTAACTTGAAAGACGCAGAGGCCAATCACCGTTCACCCGTACTCGTAATATACCCGCGAATACGAGACCAGGGGAGAAAACGATAGCGTGGTTAGACACGATATTTTATCCGCCAGGTAGTCCCAAATTACTGATGCTTTCCAACTAGCTAGTTAGAGGGCCGATCATGAGCAGCAAAACTTAACATGACAGCGTGCCAAAGGGCGTGGATGCCTGACCGTATGCCTTCTGCTTAGCGAGTTCGATAAAACTATGAAGGTCAGCATCGATGTTGAATCTCGTCGAGCCCTAAGGTGCGGATTCTGAAGACATAATTGACGCTATATAGTCGCAGAACTGTGCATTTCCTCATGGAGGTTCGGGTCTGTCTTGAGTGTCGAAGGTGCTTACACGCTAAAACCCTCCAGAATTGGATGTATGTAGGATTTTGAAACGGTCAGAGACGGTTCGGAAGAGCACCAAGCTGTCTTCGTAGGACGAGCAAACTGGCTTTCGAAATGGCTGCCATTCCATCGCGACTAAAGCTGGTGTGTAGGCGGTCAAAAATGTTGGGATACAGGCCTTTGTTTATGGACGCTCTAGTGATGGCATGATTACTCGACATGTATTCGAAGTCAGTCATCCTCACTTCATGGGCACTGACGTGCATTACCTTACAATCTCTTAGGTTGAAGCTGAAACCGCTTTCTGACGATCAGGTTTCTATTCGCTGCAAGTCCTTCTGGGGTTCTCCGGCGTCGTCATCTTCGTTCATCACTCTTTATCTCTGCCAAAGTGGGATGGGTGGGGAGATTTCAAGGGGCAGATCATTGATTGACAGCAGGAACAGAAACGACTGAAGGATTTCTCCCTCGAATGTCCTCAATGTTGAAAGCCTTCACCTCACCCACGTTTCATTTAACTTTGTGCGGAATTTTTTGGCCTTCTTGGCATTTCTTGAATCAGGAAAGCAGAGATTTGTTCATATTGGCTGACGCGATCATGCAAGGTAGAGTTGTGTGCGGGACACTGTCAAATACTTTAGCCAGGTTGAGAAAAATGACGTGCACTGGTTTTCTGCTGTCCCACCCAATAGTCCGTTTGTTGCAAACAGTCAGCAAGTTAGTGGTACATGAAGGACCATTCTGAAAGCCATGCTGAGTAATATGTGTGATGTTTTTCCTGTTAAGGATTTTCTGGACCTAGTCTGGTATCAGGCTTTCTCTGTTTTGAACAGTATAGGAAATAACGTAGTTGGCCTGTGGCCGCTGGGAAGTTCCTAGTCTCCCTCCCTTAAAATGGGAGGCCTGCATGACCCTAGCGAGCGCTTGTAGAGATAACGGATTGATTCCACGAGTTCATTTGGGCAGATCAGTTTAGTCAAATTGTGTGTTGCTAAATGCTGAAACAGCTTTCGAATTCAAGCATAGAGCTGAACTCAGAGTAGCTGTGACTAAGAATAAGATTTTTAGTCTGATGAAGACCAAGTGGTAGGATGCTGATCAGTATCCTCTTGACCGACCCGTTCTATAAGTTACAAGTGTTAGCGAACCGAAAATAATCTCATCTCGGAGCTATCTACAGTGTTGTCAAAGAGACTTTCGTATACCACTGGATAAGACGAAGTGATGCTCAAGGACGAAACTGAAAGTCTTAAAAGTTACTATTTTTCCATCCCAGCAAGCTGTTGTTGGACGTTGGATCCTTTGTTGAAGTGCCAATTCAAAGCTAATCCACACGGCGCACACGTGAATTCCAGAATGACACTAACATCTGTTTCACAAGAGGCAGAGGCATTTAAGGAAGAGGCAAATAAGTTCTTCAAAGGTAATTCGTGCGGAAACTGCTCATGTTTATACATATTTTCATTTTCCTAACTAACATTTGATCTGCAGATGGCGAATATGACAAAGCAATCGAAGCATACACAAAGGCGATTGATATTTGCGAAAGTGCCGTTTACCTTGCCAACAGAAGTCTTGCTTACCTTCGTACTGAATGCTTCGGCTATGCCTTAGATGATGCTTCACGAGCTATTAATGTGGATAGTTCCTATGTAAAGGTTTGCAGAACGCCTTTTAAAAATATTTATCCAGGGGTATTATCGCAGGGCATCCGCACATATGGCTTTAGGCCAGTACAAAGAAGCGTTAGCGGACTACGAAACTGTAAGTTGTAAAAACTCAGTTTCTTTCTTGTATTTGGTTCATTTAATCTATACTTAATAAAAGCTATGTACTATTTTCACTTCGAGGGTAGTAATTGGCGGACTTATCTTGGAGCACGTAATTATGCACAAGTAGTCAGTGTCTGTTCAGTGTACAAAATCTGTTAGCTTAAGGGTTATTGTTTATTTCACTGTTTTTCCCACTCATCTCTCCAGCTTTTGTTTGTTAAATAACAAAATTACTCATCACAAATCTAGTGTATAGCATCAGTCACCTGTGAGTTGTTTTTGTTTTTAATCAGGTGATTCGAGTTGCACCCAGTGACAAAATGGCTCGTGAGAAGTTGACAGAATGCCAGAAAATTATTCGCCGTAAGGCATTTGAACAAGCCATTGCAGTAGAAGACCAACCTTCTCCACTAGAATCTCTTGATGCAACAACAATCGCTGTAGAGGCTAGTTATGATGGCCCTCATCTTGAGCAAGACTGCAATGGGAAATACTGTGTCACAGAATCTTTTATGTTGGCTTTAATGGAGTACTACAAATCCCAGAAAGTACTACACCGGAAGTATGCTTTGATAGTAAGTAAATCCGCGTATAAATTAACATATGCACAGTTTTCATCACTTGAAAACACTCGTATCATTTGCTTTTACGTATAATGCGTTGTGATAACCCCGATTGTAGTGTAGGATTGTACGGTGTTCAGCTTTTTCTGTTTAGCTGCTTTGGTTTCATGGACGTAGATCACTTTACAAAAAGTAGTTTCGTTCACTAGCATCTGGCGTTTAGGTTAAATCTTCAATGGAACTTTTGACCAGAGCTTGTAATAATCTTGGTTCGTTTCTCATTCCTTTTACGTGGTATGCTTCCTGATCAATCTTTCCTTGTGCACATTGCTTACCAGCGGTCTGAGGAATGAAACTATAACTTATTTGATGAAAATCGAAAAAAAAATGTCTTTCCTCATTGTCGTTTGACTTGTTTTTCAAATCTTTCTCCTTGTTTGGAAGTGTAAGAGATCGAATTCCCTCGTCGATCCCTGCTATTATGACTACATCTGAATGTTGTGCTTTTTGTAGCAAGATTGACAGCTTTTCATTGAATTCATTCTTTGCATCATCCGAACTGCAGTTAGTGAGCTGAAAAGTGTAGATCACAAATAGGCATCGGTTGATTTCAAGTTCTTTCCTATTTCTTACGAACCCATTCACTCAAACAACACATAGATGACTATTTACTGGTATCCAGCCGAGTAGTGCACTTTGTGCCTTGTAGCTCAATACTGTGCCTACACCAGTGATTCCACAAGAGTTAACCACTGGGTCTCTGGCTATTTATATGGAGAATTTTAATGATTCACTACTATGGCCAGGTGAGGTCAAGTTAATAACTACACTCAGGTTCTGTTTACGTGTCTCCGAAACAGCATACATCCATAGCTCGAGATTTTAGAGTTTTGGCGAGCGAAGCTTGGAGTTCGATTTTACATAGAGTTCAGGCGTTGGGAGCTGCAACTGTAATAGATGGTAGGGTCTTAGAAGACTAGGAATAAGGTTTCGATGGTGTGGGTCGTTGGCAATCGCCTCAGAGTGAGAGGTTGAAAAAGGTATTAAGGGCTTAATACGGGTATCAGAAGTGTCAGGCAGAGGAGGAGACAGAGTTGAGAAGCAAACGTGTTTCATTGGGTCTTGTGTACTATTGCAAGCGTGCACGCGGTTGACACTCCCCAGTTGCCCACACCGTTTGAAGCAGTCTATAGCACACCATGAACAATTCCCATATTAGATTGTTTATTTAGTATAGCACACAGCAACACTAGTTTACTGGATGACATTTCGGGCAGAATTTCTTGCTGATATTCGTATCAAAGTGATACGAATATTACATGTATATATAATTGTACTCATTGTGTGCTATGTCAAACAAACAAACTAGTATGGAATTATGCTCTGTCACAGTGCCCATATTCTTGTCTTATATAAAGAAGTTCATTTTAACATCAAGTATTTTTAAAATCAATGTGATCATTCATTAACCACATAGCTATTAAAACAGCTCACATTTGTACGCATAGATGCAAGTGATTTTCTCAAACATTTCTGTCCCATATTTCGTGAAGTAGTCTACTTGAGCCAAATAATTTGATAACACCGAATCATGTTTTGCTGAACTAACTACTAATCCTAGTTGTAGAAAACCGCAATAAAAGCTAAAGTAATTAACGGTGTGTAATTTCAGAGTTTATGTAATGATAGTGCATAAATACACTTTTAACAGATAGAATCATAAGTCGTCAAACAATAGGTGTTGTGCACAAGATGCGGCCAGCGCTCCCAAGTGACCGCTGAGTTTTCTTAGTTAAGACTCAAATTCAAAGTTTTCATTGTTTCGCACAGATTTTTAATGTCTCAGTACAAAATTGGGCTTTTTTTTCCAAATGAACTAAAATTATATTCATTTCGCACTGATATGTAGAAGAAATTTGATTCTGAATGTTGTCCAGTTTATTTTTGCCGGTAAAATCTCACAAGTATGTTTTATTCATTGGTCTTCGAATTTTCGATTATTCCTAATCCACACGAAGTGATCTACAGCCCAGTGGATCAGACTGGTTTTGGTAACCAGGTTTATTTTACTTTTTTTACTATGAAATCCAAAGTTTTAATTACTTGTCACCTATCATAACTTTAGTTTTGGTACGTCACATTACTATTTTTCGTAATATTTATGACTTTTTTCCGTTAGATAATGCAAGATATTTTCTTATTCCTCCGAAACTTGCCGAGTTTAGTGGAGATTGACGTTCCAGACGAAACAAAGTTTACTGTTTGTGGTGATATACATGGTCAATTTTATGATCTTATGAATATATTCGAAATTAATGGGCTTCCGAGCAAAGATAATCCTTACGTAAGCTTATTCACTTCGTAAATTGTTTCAATAGTTGTTCAATGGTGACTTCGTTGATCGAGGATCATTTTCTGTGGAGTGTATTTTCACTTTGTTTGGGTTTAAACTTCTTTATCCAGACAAATTTTACCTTTCCAGAGGTGAGTAGTTGGCATTGGGTGAGATGATTTTTGTTGTAATATTCAGTTACATGATTTATTCGTGCATAAATTCACTTTGCAATTTAGGCAATCATGAATCCGAACATATGAATAGAATGTATGGCTTTGAAGGTGAAGTGAAATCAAAATATTCATCTCAGATGGCCAGTATGTTCACAGATATATTCAATTGGCTGCCGTTATGTCATCTTATCAATGAAAAAATCCTGGTAAGCTGTTTGGTTATTTCAGTAATCTTTGATATTCTAGTGGAAATCTTTGATAAAACTAGGATCTAGTAAGCTGAGAACTAAAAAAGGCTTAGATCACAACTAGAGTCACTATTCGTATATCGGTAACTGAGTATACTAGTCAAGATTACTATATATTCCAATGTAGAATTAAGTTTGTCTCAAACATTATAAAAGTGGGTACAAAATATGAGTCCTAAGTTGTCACATACAGTAGTACATTGAGAAATGGAATACTGTACGAGTGGTTAGAAATGTAATAGGAGTCCTTGTTTGTATTCATCCTATGTCTTAAACCGCTTGACATGGTCGGAACCTTTAGTGAATTTGATCAGATGTGTAACTTATGATGAAGTTGTATACGAGAGTGATCTTCGAGTCGTAAACTAGCTTAGAACATGCTAATTTGAACCGTCTTCTATATCGATGTCTGTTTATAAAAGTTTTGTGTGCGATAGATAATCTGAAGTAAATCAAGCAGTGAAACCTGGTGCAGGCTGAATTTGGTGAGACGATATGTGACCTGAAAACTCATTTCTTTATAGTTTAGTACCTAAGCCGATGAGCTGTGCAAACTTTAACCATAATTCTGAAGAATTTGATTTTTGCATTTTCAGTAGCGCGGTTACCTTAGTACTGCTGACACGATGTATAGCATCAGCATCATGCGAGTAAATTTAAGTTTTGTTGGTATGTGTGATTACTGTAGATGTCGTTATTGAATAATTGAAATCATTCCGTGACTACTGACTTCTGTAATTTGTACATCTTACGTGTGCTGTTTCATTGACGTCCATACTGAGCATTGCTTTGAAATGTCAGGGCAGCTTGAAAATCGAAGAAATGAAGTTTAAAACATGATTCCCTTTGACGATTCATGTTCTTTCTAATTTAGTGACTGTTTATGTAGTTGCCTGATTGTAGCATGAGTGTTAGTGTGACTTTGACTTGTAAGACTGAAAATGGCTTAGAGTTGAACTGTAAATTTACTTTGTTTTCTACTTGAATAACAGTGCAAACAAAAGTGTTGTAATCTTTGCATTCATCTAGTATATCTACTTCTCTCTCTCCTATTTAGTGTCTTTTTCCACTGACATAGGACCAGGTATTATTGCGTAACGGTCCAAGTTACCACACCCCATATCAGGACATCAAGTAACAAGGCAATGAAATCGAAGATGAAGAGAGAAGGAAAAATTGGTCAAAGTCAGAAGTAGTAAAAGAGAGGAAGGAGGAATGCGAAAATGGTCAGATTTAGCGTAGCGCCACTGACATCAGTTGTGAGCCGTGTCACCTAGAGTCTCCAATCACTGGTTTCTCTTGTCCCGCGGACCCCAACCGACTAGTCTTCATCGTCCTACATGGCTTAAACAAATAGTCAAGGACTTTATGCATTGATCCCATGTTTTTCACCACTAACACCTCTATAAGGTTATTTTATGTTACACATTTTGTAGTATCCCCACACACTGTAGTGAATTCGCGTTCTAATCAGTCATATCTGCAATTTGATTTGAACTTATGATCGCAACCTTATTATAACTTTTGACGCATTTAAACACAAGGGACTTAGTGCTCTCATGTTTTTCGTGTACCACGATTTTCTCATGGATTGTTATGTTGTGGGATTCTGAATCTTGATATCACGATGTTTCTCACATGAGTGTTACTTATCATTTTAGTGGCGTAACGTTATAATTATTTGTAGACATGATTATGATCAATTCTCACCATCAGTCAGTATGTCAGTTCTGTTTATTTTCTTCTACATTTTATTTAAACCTCACTTAAAAGGTTATGCATGGTGGACTGTTCGAACGTGACAATGTCACCTTAGATGAAATAAAGAAAGTTTCCCGAAATCGTCAACCCGATGAAGGCACCATTATGTGTGAATTATTATGGTCTGATCCAATGGAAGCTAAGGGTCGAACGCACTCTAAGCGTGGAGTTGGATGTCAGTTTGGTCCTGATGTTACTGAAAATTTCTGCAAACAAAACGGTTTAGACTATATTATACGAAGTCATGAGGTAATTTATACAGATTAGCATTGAATCCATTAAAACTACACTCAGGTTATATGACCCAATTTTTGTAATTGTGTTAAAGATTCTTTTAAAAGTTTCTTCATATATAGCTTTAAATTGTTGTTGGTCAGATTATCTGTTTAGATCACTTTTGGTTAGCTTTTTTCGGGACTCTATTCAGAGTTCATACTATGGGTTTATTATAACATCAAACCATTCCTACTTGATGATTTGTGTAATTAACTTTATCAAATAATTTACACTAATTTCATGAGGTAATTCTTAAAGCAAATATCACCTTGTGTTTACTTGAATTTTTAGACTCTATTCCTTTGCATAAACGCCTGTAGCCGTTAGTTGTATAGGAGTTTTAGTGTAGTTTTATGCAAACTTAAAAATAAACAAGAAATGTAAGAGTAAAACTTGGGCACTGTGGTAGAGTATAATCATATATTAGATTGATACAGTGTTACTTATTGGATTTTGTTTTGAGCAGAATTTATGGCTCATATTCATTCTTTTATCACTCGTATGGTTATTCAACTTTCGAACGAATGAACAACTGTTGGACTATATCGAAGAAGTTTGAAAGTCATATGGTTACTTTGCTGCGAACGAAACGTCATCCAGTGAATAATACTGGATCACTGTGTGATGTATCATATAAACAGTGTAATATGAAACTAAACAGATGTTTCGAAACCTTTTACACTCACCTTAAAGTTTCAACAACTGTTTTGTATGAGGGTATTTGTTTTGATTTCATTGAACTATATGTCAACCTTTTTGTATCGCTTTTCTAGGTCAAGGATGAAGGGTATGAAGTTGCTCACAACGGTCGTTGTATCACTGTTTTCTCAGCTCCAAATTATTGTGACACGATGCGTAATCGAGGAGCTTTCATTACACTGAAAGGCAGTCGAAAACCCGGTGGGATGGCACCGAATTTCACCAGCTTTAAGGAAGTACCTCATCCAGATGTACGTCCTATGGCTTATGTAAATCCTTTGCTTTCTATGTTTATGTGATTTTTATGCTTTTTTTTTCTTATTTTGTGCCTTACATAGTGACCGAATAACTTTGTTATGTTTACTGTTGACCCGACCAGTGTATCAACCATCCATTATACACCGTTTTAGGTGAAATTCTTTCTTACCATTTCCATTCTTAGTGACTTGTTTTTTAACCAGAGATTCTCATATATGCATTTTTAATTCTATGGTGTTAATCACTATGAGAAAATGTATAAATTGTTACTCATATTCTTCACACCACAGTTATTGGCAACGTGTGTATCACTGATCTTTTCTTGAGTTTATTCGATTTATTGTACCACTTTGTCCAATTACCGGTTGCCATTATTAGTATGTTTTAATGAAACCAAATAGGTTTCATTCATTTTTTGACTATATGTATCGTGTTTTAGTATAAAAATACAAAAAAGTCATTTATGTTGTGAATTGTTTTGAAGTGTTATTTTGTTGTGTTTTTTGTTTGTAGCCATTGTATCACAGGTTTGTTTAGGTAAATAGGTATTTAGTAGCGTTCATTATGCTTCCATATTGCTAGTCGACAATAGAATGACGTCTTGTTATGTTAGTTGCTCTTATTAGACTATTACTTATTGGCACTTTTAGGGTTTTCGGATGGGGATGTAAGAGATTATAGAGATTTTCTTAGTCAAGACTCAGAATCTGAGTATTTAGTGTTGAGAGTGAATTTCCGTTGTACATTTTTAACTGATCGGACGATGATCTTTGAAAGAAGTTGGTCGGTATTATAGATGGTGCTACTAACATTTACGCGGTTAGTTGTATGGCAAAAGTTACTTTTTCCTGTTGATTCCCAAGATTTAATTATTTAAGCAATCATCAAAGGATATCTTTTATTGAGTTGAACATGTTTACTTTTATTCTGCCATTAAACCTGTCTAAATTGTAAAAACAGTTTTTGACAAAGCATTTTGATTAAAATAAGGAGTATGACTTATCAAATGACCACTGTCGATTTTTGAAGTCCATGATGTCGTTCACGAGACTAGTTGGTTGCCAGACAAAAAGAGTGTTCAAAGGCCTTTACGAAATTAGTTGTGAAGTCAATGCATTACTCACCCTCCATATAATACTCTTTATGGAAGATTGCAGACAGGATTTTTAATGATTTTAAAAGTCTTGGTTGGAATATTACTACTATTTCTCTCCCTTTCATAATCATCTAAGTGAAATATTCATATGAAATTACGACTTGAGGATTTTAAAACATTGTTCTTAGCTGATCCTTTCGAAACCAAATACTATTAATTTCAGAATTTTGAAAGAATATCGCTTTCCTTGTCGTGTAAGATGGTTATTCATCTGCTCGAAGACTGTGGTGTTTAGATTTGTCACACCAAACAACAGGAATCTTGGAAATCGCGTATCTCAGTGTCGGTCACTTCACTTAACATTTGCAGTCGACATTGTATTCTCGAGAAGTATCGCACCACTAATGAGTTGTAGATAATAAAGGAGAGATAACTAATTTTTGTTTGCGAATTCAGTTATCTAAAGAGTCAATAGTTTATTGAAGCCTAGAAATTATGGATTATAATCGTAAAAACTGCTCCTGTCCACCCCAAGTAAAATATTAAGCCGCATCATCCTAGAGAGGCTTAAAGACGCACTGGATTCAAAACCACAACCGGAACAGGCAGGCTTCAGGAAGTACAAATCATGTGCAGACCAAATTGCAACGCTTCGCATCATCATAGAACAGAGCATAGAATGGCAATCAGCTCTCTACCTCAACTTCATCGACTCTGAGAAGGCCTTTGACAGCGTCGACCGAGAAGTAATTTGGAAACTGCTTCAATACTACGGAGTACCGCAAACCTTTATCCGCCTCATTCAACAACTATATGAAGATGCCACATGCCAGTCAAGTAATTCACAATGGGAAGCTCAGTGATGCCTTTGAAGTGAAGACAGGAGTGAAACAAGGTTGCCTACTATCCCCCATGATATTCCTAATTGTGGTGGACTGGATCATGCAGCAAACAGTAGGGAGCGAGAAGAGGGGAATACACTGGCTGGACTGCGGAAAAGAACCTAGAAGACTTGGATTTCGCCAACGATGACTTATGCCTAATGTCACATAAACTTGAAGATCTGCAGGCAAAAACTAACAAGTTGATAGAAGAGGCAGCTAAGACGAGACTTCAGGTGAATATACAGAAGTGATGAAGATACCGCACCACCACCACCATCAACAACAACAAACTCCAATCACCGTCAACGGGAGAAACTTGAAGGAAGCAACCTCCTTCACTTATCTAGGAAGCACTGTTTCAACTACAGGCGGGACGGACGAGGACGTCAAAGTCAGAATCGGAAAAGCAAGACAGGCCAGCGTTCATTAGCCTGAAACCAATGTGGAGATCTTCTGCACTCGGCATGCGGAACAAGATACGGATTTTCAACACCAACTTCAGTCGAGTCAGTGCTTCTGTATGGTTGAGAGACTTGGTGCGTCACGAAAGGCATTTCCAATAAACTACAGACATTCATCAACAACTGCTTACGCTCGCTGCTGAAGATCAGATGGCCAGAAAAAATAAGCAACAAGGAACTCTGGGAACGAACCAACGAAGCAAGAACCTATCACGCAACAAATATTCAGGAAGAAGTGGAGATGGATTGGCCATGCACTGAGAAGGCCGACTGAGGACATCACGCGTCAGGCCCTCGAGTGGGATCCAGATGGGAAGCGACGAGTTGGACGTCCAAGGGTGACATGGAGGAGGTCGTGTGAGGAGGAAATGAGAGCTTCTGGGCTGTCGTGGGACCAGGTTCAAAAGATCTCAGAGAACAGGATGAAATGGAGGCGTGCTACTGAAGCCCTATGTCCCACTAGGAACCCAAGGGACTAATAAAAAAAATAAAAAAATCGTAAAAACTGATGTCAGTAAACAAAGCGAGAAGTTCAGCAAAGATCGCAATTCCAGCTATTTCATTCTCCATAGCTCTACAATCACAATTTATACATTTTAAAAAAAAAACTATATTCGGTTAATTACAAGAATTATTTAATTAAACCTAGTAACAAAGATGAAGTTGAATGAAGATGAAAAATTTACAAGTATGATAGAAGATAAAAATTAGTCACAATAGAGTATAGAAACCAAAATAATTAACCGGATAGAATATGAAGTTGCATAATATGTGAAAATGATTTTCAAGATAAAACCTGATCAAGGGTATCATGAAAATAAGATGACAACATTCAGTTATTAAAATATAACAAAATTGTGAATGATAATTGAGAGTTAGAGGTCAGTGTATTGTTAGCATACATGTATGTAACAGTAGTTACATCAGGAGAACAAAAAGAAGAGTGTACTTTAGGTTCTTTTAAGATGTGCCAAAAGGCTCATGCTTCAGAGGAATAAATTTTCTCAGGAGTTCAAATATCCTTTCTCTTATAGACGCACGATATGCAGTAAATACTTGAAAGTCCTTTAGGGTAATTCGAATCTTCTTGAATTATGTATTCAGACAGAAACAGTCATCAACCTGTTTTTGTACTAGCAACCTAATTTATCACTCTTCATCTTATTTGGTGACAATCTTTTTGGCTGAACCTTTTTTTTCCACAGATACAAAACTTTGATAATCATTTTTTACAAACTGAGATTGACTCAGTATTGCTTATGCTTCCTGCATCATACTTCATTCGAAATACCTAAACACTTAATTCCTATATACATTAGTTTTTTTGAACTTCTTATAATGTAAGATACATAACTACAACTTCTTAGCATGACTTGTCAACTTTATTTGGATGTTAGTATTTCTCGTTACATCATATTGCCTCTTATTAATTAGCTTCATTACACTGCATAAAGTATGTTCAGAGTTTTTTGTTTTTCTGATAATGATATGTTTCAGTTTGTAAGCAGTTGATAATGAACCAATGAAATTAAATGGATTCATGTTATTTTGATTCAGTCATTGTTTTTTCTCTCTGTTCAATTTCATCAAGGGGAATATGTGTATGAAGTGATGCTAAAGCATAGAATGCAATCTTATTTAAGATTGGGTAAGAAACCACCAGCATAGGCAGTTTAGATGAATGATTAAATTTTGATCGAAATGAAATAGAATGCAAAAATATCCGGAAATACGGTAGCACAATGCTACAATGTGTCTAACAAATAAAATGGGGAAAATGGAGCGATCAAGACATGAATTGAAGTTGGAAAAATGGCAGTCAAATGTAAATTCTCTCTTTCTACGATCGATGGGTCTTAGTCATTTATGTCGGTGTAGAATCCCTACTAAGAAATTGAAACCATGAAATTCGTCGAATAAGGCATGGATTGTAACCAGCTATCGTTGATATATAAACTGCTTATGGTGTTAACTTAGTTATAACGTTCTCTTAATTGATTTTGGCCATGCTGTTGGAGTTGTGACTGATAAAATTTCTAACCGGATATTGAAAGTGAGAGGGGTATACGCCAATCTGGGTCACTTCTTAAGCAATCATAGAGTTGGCTGAGCTGCAAAAGGTCAGATTTACAATGCGTATAGATAGGCGCTTCTGGGCTCAGGGTATCCATTAACTGCATAGAACTACTGGCATCCAGTGGGATCACTATACAAGGAATTCTGAGGTGCAACGTGATGGAGCTCATCAGTCATTGAGTGAAATCAACTTTGGTGACTTGAAACGTGTTACGAATGGTCTTCTCGTAGTTTCCATACCTTTCTCTGTTTGTTGACCATATCACTTGGTAGACGAAACTAAGATGTTATATATGAGTGTGTGGAACGAAGGATAGTTGTACTAAACTCGTATCCGCTTATGCATCACGATGCTCTGGATTGGAACTGAAAAGTCATCCTATCCAATAATTGGAAAATTCACCAAGTTTGGTTGAAAACAGAAATCCGATATCATGGCTACAAATTTCCTCTCCCTTCTGTCACCGCAAACTAAAATGACGCTTAAATTTTCCTTCTGTTATTTGCTTTTCATTTTTTCGCATCACTTTTCTGGTTTCTTGATTGTTTTATGTTATTCTATGTGATGAACTTTAGGATAACTAGGTTGGATAGAAGTGCATTGAATAGTTATCTGGTGCTTTACTCGGTCTGATTAAACAACTGGAGATAATTCTGAACAATACATATTTCCAGTAGTTTCCCATTGAAATAAACACGACTGCATATACGAATTAGTCGGCAGAAACATTCAAAACGATCATGATTACTCGCGTATGAATCGAACGATAGTTGTAGTTAAGGGATCCGGTAAACCACGGCTTCCTACATCTATCATTTCACGATATAGTGCGACCATACCACAACGTCATCATTGGGCAACTACCGACTCATTCGTAACCAACTTGACATGCTTTAGAATGGATTTTCAAAGTTCTAATGAGAAGTCGTAATCTGTTAGGTCAACCAAGCC